TGACCGGAGAAAAATATTCGATTACGATTAAAAATTAAAATTACAAAGTAATTTTTTAATGAAAATACCGAGAAAATGTCATCACAAATCTATAAAATTTTCTATAAACACGAGTGTGTAATTTTTATTCAATATTTATATCCGTGTATCTCAGGAGGAAATTATTTTTATCATCAATTTTTATCAACAATTAATTAAGCTATAAAAATGATATTTCCATCTTAACATTTCCACTGTGAATTTTTAGTTATCAAGCCAATTATCAAGATAAATAATCTTCAATAACATTCGATATTAACTTACACAACAATTACCCAAATAAATCAACGAAATATTGTTCTAGGTTTACAAAAACAATGAATTATATTATTTCATTGACGGCTACGACATCCAAAAATCCAACTGGATGCGATACGTCAACCCCGCGTATTCATCAGAGTCCCAGAATCTCATCGCCTGTCAATACAAGGTAAGAATAACCGAATCTTGAAAACCTACATCTGCAACAATTGCAATAAAACTTGTCATTGGTTTCCAGATGAACATTTATTTTTACACAATAAAACCCATCCTCCCGAATCAAGAGCTTCTGGTCTGGTACTGCCGTGAATTCGCCGAGAGGCTAAACTACCCTCTAACCGGTGAACTAATGCTCCAGAGAATACGACAACAGGTACTTCACACTTCCCCTTCCAAAAAAAAATATTTTGATAAACAATTCCTTAATTTTTTCTCGATATATATAATAATTAATGTTAAGAAACAAATAAATATTTGAAAATCACTGGGAAATGAAGTCCCCGATGAGGATCTATAAAAAGTTGTTTGATTCATTAATTTATTTATTTTCTCAATGTTTTTTTCTGTTTAAACAAATATAAATGAATGAATTAAGTAGTTAATGTCAATATTGCCGAGACACATTCGACGGTTTCAATAATTACTATCTCGAGTTAATTAGAATATGTCCGGATTACCCTAGGATCCCCTATATTTTTATCTTGTGCCTCTTCATGACTTTATTTGCGATTCAGGTGCAGCAATCGAGTTTACCAAACGAAATCCCATCATCCGGTGAGATAGTTCTCCCCTCGAAAGACTCGCCAATCTACGAAAGACGATGTCAATTGACTCCAACCGAAGGTTCAGTCAGATCAGACGAGGGCTACCACTCAAATGGATACCACGACGAGATCCTGACACCCCCCGAGGAGAGCAGCGAATCCGATTCCGAGAACAATTACGTCCTGGACTTCAGTAAAAATACACGCGCATCAACCACAACCACGGAGATGATAAAGCCAGACAGTGCACTGGTGAAAAATGAATACAGAAAAGTTAAAATAAAGATAAACAAGACGTACAACAATTTTCAATCGAATAACAAAAATCTCGACATCAAAGAAGAGCTGGCGAACAGTAGAACATTAACACCAGATCTACCCCAGAAGGTAGCAATAATTCTGAGCTCAACAGACGATGAGATCGACAGACCGAAAGTTTTTTACGAATCCGATGTGAAAATTAATGCAATCCAAACCCACACCAATAACAATAATAGCAGTAACAATAACAATATATCAACGACGACGAATACAACAGCAGCATCAGCAAGACCGCCGTACGTGACAAGTCCAAACAGTTCAATACTGGAGAATATTCTCCTGCGACACAACACAGACAGCAACAACAACACGAGCAATAATCACGGTCACAGTGGGACTGAGAGTCATCATCACAGTAGTCATCGTCACATAGATTCCATCAGTCCACCCCCATCTAGTCCCACGGAGATGGCATACTCGTACAAAAAATCCCACAGATACGGTAACATTCTCCCCTGTAGTCCAGACTCGAGTTCGAATTTACCGATGCAAGTTGACAGCTGCACCAGTGCCAATGGTTCAACAACCGTGCCTATGGTGCAGAGTCCAGGTAATCTCCATTCGAGTACACCCGGGGTAATGGGACACTGTAACATGAGTAATCAAATTGTCCACTCGGCGAACGAGGGGGACTCGATTCATTCGTCAGTTTTGACATCAACCACTAGTGGCCTTCATCCATCAACGATTAATATTTGTAAATCGAGAAAGACCCAGAGCCCATCACCCCCAACAGCAACATCTACCAATGGATCTACCCTGGTAGTGGCCACCGAGCCTGAGGAAGAGACACCGATCATGTACTCTCAGCACAGTGGAAGTGGATTGTGCACGTCTGGTCACATCGAGTCAAGCACTGGTTATCAGATAAATTCCAACACTCCACCGAGTGCCACATCAATTTCCCCGATGAATTCACCATCCTATCCGTACAATATCTACCATCAGAATGCCAATCTCCATCAGCACATTGCACCCCTCTCCATCAATTGTGCTCCATATTCACCAACACCATCAGCTAGTGTATCTGCGTACGAGAGAAACGACAGTAGAAGGCATGAGAATGGACATCAGCTTCCCACATCATCGACGATGCAGATTGATGATAATCACTCGACCATCATCAGTGGAACACGCAATCTTCATCTCGGGCATCATCATCATCCTCTGAGCATTCATCCCACAACATCGAACAGATATTCACCAGCTAGTTCACTTTCACCTGATGATCACGGCTGTTCCCAGAGTGGATCACTCAGCCCGAACTCCCAGGGCTCCAGAGGATACCGATCTTTACCCTATCCACTCAAGAAAAAGGACGGCAAAATGCATTACGAGTGCAACGTCTGCTGCAAGACTTTCGGTCAATTATCCAATCTCAAGGTTCATCTCAGGACGCACTCCGGAGAGAGACCCTTCAAGTGCAATGTCTGCACCAAAAGTTTCACTCAACTTGCTCATCTTCAGAAACATCATCTTGTACATACAGGTGAGATTTTTACGGTTGAATTTTAATGAGTCGATTTTTACATTTCTTCCTGATTTTGGATTTATTTATTTATTTTTTTTACTGTTGAATTCCTCAGGGGAGAAGCCTCACCAGTGTGAAATTTGCAAGAAGAGATTCAGCTCGACATCGAATTTGAAAACTCATCTACGTCTCCACTCGGGCCAGAAACCTTACGCATGTGATCTCTGTCCTGCGAAATTCACGCAATTCGTGCACCTGAAATTGCACAAACGACTGCATACCAACGAGAGGCCCTATACCTGTCAGGGCTGTGATAAGAAGTACATCAGTGCGAGTGGACTGAGGACACACTGGAAGACAACGAGCTGCAGGCCGAATAACATCGAGGATGAATTGGCACTTGCTGCTGCCGTTGGTTCACCAACTTATTACGAATACAGTCACGAAATCAATGTCGGTAAGTGGTATTGTCAAAATTCAATAAACCAAATACCAATTACTGCTTAATTGTTTGAACTTCTATTTCTCATTGCGAATCAATTATTTTGATCATTTTTATTATTCAGTGAAAATGATGAAAATCATTGAATGCAATTGAAATAAAAATTGAAACTCATCGTATTTTATAGTTATGGAATGAAATAATACTTGATTGTCCTAAAATTGCAGCAAACATGCCGAAAGAGTGTGAGCTAGAACCAATGGAGAACTACGACAGAAGAAATGGATCGCACTCAACACCCCTTCACAATTTGGAGATGAATGTAGGTAAGTTTAAATTCGGCTGTTCATTACCCTACAAGATAAACCCTGAAATTCCCGTGGGCACGTGATAATGATAATTGAATGAATCTTCCAGGTAATATGCAGAAAGACTGTGAACTTGATAAAATAGACAATTACGAGAGACACAACGCTGTTACATCGCACCCATCATCTCTGCACAACCTGGAGAATCCCGTGGGAAGGCCAACAGTAATAGAAACATCGCAGCCCCACATAATCGAGTGCACCTAACAGAGACATTGAAAAAGTCTGATCAAGTGTACCTCCACTGAAACACCAATAATTTCACAAAAAAATGTCATTTCCAAAGGTGCAAAATTTATCATTCCAAAGCGATAGACGAGACTATCTTTTCCCTCTCGTGTGGGAAGAGGCGAGATAATAATTTATCGATTATAATGACGGCAAGTGTCGACATCCGTCAGACAAAGTGGCGAGTGAGTAATAAATATTGATGAAGAAAGGGAATTACAAGGGAATAATATGGGATTGCAACCAGTGTCGACGCCCAGACTGCAACTATACGAGACCTGTACCTGTATATATTAATATAACAATTATTATTCGATTAGGTGAATTAATATTAAACAGATTAAAATATATATTGTCGATTGGCCGAGCGGTAGGCTACCTTCGCAGGCTTATATTTTCTTTGAAGCTATGCGCTATCTTATTCATGTTTTTTCTAAAAAAAAAATCATTAGCTTTAGAGTTTCGAAAGTAGTTTAGAAAAAATGGGGGCAATCGAGCATAGGGTAAATCGACGGATACTATAATATTTATTTGTAAAAAGATTTTTAAACTACGGTGTGATTATTACGTTTATTACTCCATGATTACTCATTTATCGTTTAAGGGAATTAGAGGGATAATTGTCCTGCAAGGAAGACCAAACAGTATTTTTAGCAGTGAGCTTTTCCTTATCTCATCTGTATGGGAAGAGACTTCCATTCCATCATTCCGGTTCATCAATTTATTTATGTTGATCACTAATTCATTAGTTGTAAGAAAATCACGATATTCTATGACTATCTGAGATTGTATTGATGCGGAGGCAGCCTGCTGCAAATGCAATTATTATTATGAATATTTTCATGGATATGCGGTTCGAAGAATAAAATTTCATTGGATATTGCTCGCGTGAGACGCTGAAAAATCGGAATCGCTACTCTATGAAATTATTGAGGGATAAAATGGAAAATACACAAAAAAAAGGGAAAATGAAGGTGCAGACTGATATTAGTTACACTGCTGTTTCAGCTCATACGTTACATGTAGTTATATGAATTGTAATTACGGTGCGAATGCAATACAGAGGATCTCTTCCAAAAATTGAGTGAACGAAAGGCATCGAGGAGAAATATTCATTTGGCATTATTAGCGTTCTGCCTGGATTACTTTGAATTTAATGGTGAAAACTCTCTGCTGTAAAGATATATCAAAGATATTGTGTATGAGGCAATGGGAAACAGTGAATGCAAATGAAAAATTATGTTGGTAAAGAATAATCAAGGGTTCATTATTTTGGAACGTTTATACATCCTTGTGGATAGTAGTGACTCATCGATAACGAACTAGAAGCTCAAAATTGGAATAATTTTTATTAAAAATGCATGATAATGTCCGATATTACGTGTCATTTTGACAAAAGTGCTTGCACAATTTTCTAGTCGCATTAATACTCTTGGAATTCATGATTCTCAAATGAAATGTTTAATAAATGAGAAAATTCATATTATAAATTCTGTGCGTATAAAATTCAGGGGAATTTCACTCCGAAATCATAAACGCAATTATAACAGATCATACGATAAATTGCCTTGATTCGCCTTGCCTGCATCAGACGTTTTTCATTCTCAATCAGAAGCCGAAATGAAATAGAAGCAAATAAATAAATAAATAAACGATAAAGAGAACGAGATAAAAATGTGCAGGTGGAGAGAAAATTGAAGGATAATGTAAATAGGCTAAAGTAGTGAACTATAAAAAAAGGCAGAGTGACAGTTGACATTGGCAGAAGCAAAAAAGTTTAATTAAAAAGAAATCATCATGAACGTAAATACCGTGCAGCGCATAATATACGTACTAGCGTATCAGAAGAACTCTTGAATTGAACTTTATTAATCATAAGATACCGTAAATTGTGAATGAAAGGAAGATGAAAATTGTTATGCATTTATTATCATTATAACTACTGGATAGGTAATGCTCAATTAGCATTTGTTTCTTAAAAATAAAGAATAAATATATGGCTGTTGGATATTTAAATGCCAGTTTCTTGCTTCCTTCTGCATGTTTTTTTATTGAATCAATGTATTGTTTGAATAAATACCAGGCAATTCTCAGTCGTTAAGAGGATCAATTAAATTATCAAATGTGCTCTTCTAAATTTAACAAACACTGATGCAATTTATCAAGAAAACCTGAACAAGAAGACTAATGTGAAAATACTTTCTGTATTTGTCAGGAGATATAAATTTACATAAACATAAGTCGCTGCAAATTCAATCAAACATCGTTATTGATAAGAGCGCGGACAATTTCTTAAAATTAGTTTACCAAAACGAGTAATTATTTTTTTCGACTTGTTGATTCATAAAATATGAATTACTGGAAATTCCCAATTACAATAGTATTGATACTCAGCTACAAACATTGATACAATCGAAGATAAATCTTTCATTTATTTGGGATCACTGTCAATTCAATAAGAAGAAGACCTTTTTGTTCGTTTCACTTTTCATCAATCCTACTCTTATCAGCAGCATCATCACCATTTACTACCATCCAATTTCTTTTACCTCGAGTCATTCTGTCGTTGATATTGAATGAATAAAAAAGTAACTAGAGAACCTATTGAAATTTCACAACAATCGAAAATTTAAGATACAATTTTTCATGTTAAACGTATGAGGTTCAGTCGTATTACTCACTCGTAATAAGAAAAATAATGGAATAGACAGTAATTTGAATGGAGAGCATTTTCTATATATATTTGGTGGATCATGTGAATTCGAGTATTGACATTGAATATGCAACGTCTCGTCACAGCTAGTCAGTAACCCTGGAATAACAATAATTAATAACAAAATAGATAATATTAATTGACAATCAGTCTACTCACCGCATCAAGGTATAGGACTGTCTGTTCCACTCCCACTATTGGTTCCAGCCTCACTCTTCGTGGCAGCAAGTCTGTCCCCGCGTTTATTACTTTTCGATAATGTTGCAACTTCCTTCAGCAATCCCGAGATCTTCTGCTGCAACCCGGACACTTTAGCCTCATACTCCTTCTCCGTTACTTTCATTTTATTACGGAGCTCTGTCTCTGCAGTAAAATTCTTCGCCTTCAATTCTGTTATCTGAATAAAAAAAAATAATCACACCTGAGTATTCCAAAAAAAATTAACTCTAATTCAATATTAATTAAATTATTACATGTCTATCCTTGGTTAATAGTTGACTATCCTTCTGTGACAATTGCTTCTGGAGATGGGCTATTTTCTCCTTGAGCTGAGTCACAGCAACAACGTGATCGGAGCTATTGGGATCATGAGGATCATGAACTCCGACCATTCGAGCAACTTTCATTGGCGCAGGACAAGTCACCTCGGCTGGATCTGGCTGAGGGGGTAGCTTGGTCACATCGATTCTATGGGGTCTCTTGTTGTGCCCTTTCAATTTCTGTTCTTTGTGTTTAGCGGCTCGTTCGTGAGCCATTTTCAAGTGAGCCCTTCTGTCAGCATCCGACTGTTTCGTCTTCGCCAGGGCACGCTTGTAAGACAGTGTGCAAAGCCAGCAGAGCAATTTTCCATCAACCTGCAGAGAAAATACGAAAAACCTCAAACCGATTTACTCTGCAAAATTCATGAGTAACCACATGAACTCGATTTAACGAATATCTCTGAATCTAAGACAGATGGCGAAAATTTTGTTTAATACTTTTTTGTAGATGTCATTCGACTCTACAAAAAAGGTTCTGCAAAAAATATCGCTATATCTTTTGGATTCACAGATATTCCTGAAAAACTCAGACAAAGATAAAATTGAGTTGTTACTTTTTCGGTAAGGGATTGAGATATTAAAATTCTGTTGATCGTACCTTTTTATCCTCGTCCTGTCGATCAAAGGCACACTTTTGCTTGCACTGTTCGCATGTGACAGGCGGGCCATATCGTTTCTCCGAATTTGTACAACGCTGACATTTGCTACCGATAAATGCAGCAATAGTGTTGCAGTACTCGCAAGCTGATGGTTTCCCATAAGCTTTGACGTTCTGCTCGCATTTTTTACATATCGTACACGTATTTCCCTTTCTGAAATCAAATTTGCAGTGATTGATCAATAATAATGCAATGATTCAGTAATAAACCGGTAAAATGAAGTAACGACAATTTTTCAGTTCCATTAAATATTGATTAATCCAGAAAACTATTGATTTTATAAGAAAATGTTAAATCACCTTTTTTGTCAGTAATTTAAATAGGATCATAAAAGTCTTCTAATGTTTTCTGTTTAAATCAATATTTTCCGAGATAAGATGGCTAATTGAGAAAAAATTTACTCCACTCATATGATTTTATGACTTCGATATTGAATACTTACATTGCCTGTTGAAACTCTGACCGACAGTACGTGCACTTGACAACTGGAAATGAGCCGCGACATTCCTGCAAAATAATGCAAGACGATCCATCAATGAATATCGATTGTGTCCCCAAGGGAATTTATATGAATTGATCAGCGGAATATTTTCCGGAGTGCGAGGGAAAAATATGGACGATGTGATTTGACGTGAGAAGACGCCAGTCTAGATTCGCTGAATGCCAATATTGAGAATTATTTAGCTGATTGAATCACAAATTTCCCCGGTAAATCTGCTCCAAGTCACCCCAGTAATTTGAATTTTTCAATTACAACTTCTAACTTTGAATGACCAATTCGACAGGTTAAAATCTGGTACTGTACCTTGCAGAGTTGCTGTCCCGGCGACAATTCCTCGAAAGGATGCCTTGAGAAACACCTGGAGCATGCAAACAATGCCTTAACGTTGTTCGAACTCATCATCCACTGAAATCACTCGAGTCTTGCTCAATCCGGTTGTCCTTAAATATCTCACAAGTCACAGAGAGATATATTTCCTACGTGCCAAATGAAAATTGCAACTATACAGCCACGACGCGATCAAAACAATCTGATATTTAACAATCAGCCAGCTGAAGCTTTGAAAAAATTCGATGGAGGATTCACCAAGGGCACATCACGACACACGAGCACAATAATTTGACATAAGAGAATAAATAAAAGCTCGTCTCTACATTTTTTGAAAAATCACCAGCCAGGAAAGGAAGCACAGGGAAATGCGTTTGTTTTCGTACTTATTGGTTGTGACCAACAAGTACAAATGTATCGTCACAAGTGAGTTAGTTGTGAAGAGAGAAACTAGAGATGTTCTAGCAAGTGCTGCCACCACCCTGAGCCCAGTGAATTATCCTAGAGATTTTGTTTCCGGGGGTTATCGAGGGGTTTCAACGCCTGGTATTCAAAAACGGTAAATTATTATTGGCATTACAATAAATTGTTTTAATCACAATAATTCTTCAACGTCAATCTAGGCACAATGTTCATAGACTGTAGTTCTTGGAATAATAATTTACAGGCATAAGGCATGGTAATGGTGGAAACACATCCACTGGATCGACAACTGTGGCACCAGCCACTGTAAGCCATCAGCCCGCATTTATTACAGACATCAACATCAAAGGCATCACTCGATATCATCAATCGTTCAACGAGCATCATACTGGCACCGTAGCCGATGAGACAGTCTCTCTCCATTTCTCCGAGACGAAGACCACCTTCTTTGGATCTACCCTCGGTGGGCTGACGGGTCAGGACAGCACGTGGGCCCCTCGCCCTGGCATGCATTTTGTCCTGTACCATGTGCTTGAGTTTCTGGTAATAGATAGGGCCTGAGTAGATGTACGCCTGGAGGGGCTCTCCAGTGGTTCCAGAATAGAAAATATCTTTGCCGAGATAATTGTAGCCGTGACGAACGAGTTCCTCGCAGACGTCAGTCACCTTGGAGCCACCAAAAGCTGTACCATAATGAAATTGGCCTTTCATGAGACCAGCCTTGCCAGCGAGAAGCTCGATAAGTTTTCCCACAGTCATTCTCGAGGGAAATCCGTGGGGATTCATGATCATATCAGGACAAATTCCAGAATCATTGAACGGCATGTCCTCTTGTTCAACGATCAAACCAGTCACTCCCTTCTGACCATGACGACTGCTGAATTTATCCCCAATCTCAGGTCTTCTGGTTTGCCTTAATAATAATTTAATTAGAAAGGAATCGTCGGCGTAGTTCGACGATATCATGACCTTCTCGATGTACGATGGAACTGGCCCCTTGTAAGTAACAGGCACCTCTCGATATTCAACCGATCCCTGTCCAACAACTTGACTAACTGGATTCTGCTGGGTGATTGTTGGGGATGACTTGTTAACCATGATTCTCCTGTTCTCCACCATTTCTCCAGGCATGGCGATTCCATCAGAATCAAGGATATCGTGTTTCCAAATGGGTTTTTTGGTGGTACTATCGATCAAAGGTCCCATGATTTTGTCGAAAGTTTGATTGGCGTATTTCTTTAAAGATGTTTTGGAATTTCTGTACACGAGGCACCTGCCATAGCCCCGATCGATAGACGCTTTATTCAGAATCAATGCATCCTCGATATCGTATCCACTGTACGACATGACAGCGACAATAGCATTCTGTCCAGCTGGCAGTTTATCAAAATTAATCAGCTCGATTGTCCGAGTCTTGACCATGGGAGCTTGTGGATAGACCAGATTGTACATCAAAGTGTCAATCCTGTTCCTTTGATTATAGCCTATCGTACCCATGGCCTGCTTCCCCATGGCACATTGATAAGTGTTCCTTGGGCTCTGATTGTGATGAGGATAGGGCACGAGACCAGCACACACTCCAAGGAGAGTAAATGGCTCAATTTCTAAATGAGTGGTTTTGTGATTTATCTGTGACTCATTGAACGCGATGAAACTATCGTTCTCCTCGTTGACATCGAGATACTCGATCAGGCCTTCCTGGATGAAATCCTCGAAAGACTTGACTCCCTGTTGTAGAATCTTCATGTGCTCTTCTTGTATGAGGGACTCTGAATTCTTGACAATTATGTATGGCCTGCACAATCTGCCACCATCAGAACTTATCTGAATGCATTTGTGTTGATGCTGAGTGTATATCGATACGAATACATCGATCAAGCCTCTTCTCCTCAGCATCCTGAAGACATTGACGAGACGGTCATAGTTGTGAACAACACCAAGAATGTTACCATTTAAAAATACCATGTACACATCCTTGTGATTAATCTCCTCACCACCTAGTATATTCACATTTTCCACCCCCATGTTGAAACATAATCGTATGATCGGCTCCTGTTCCACTTCAGTGGTAACATGAGTCATGAGAGCAAGATTCTTGATGAGACCACAGCCTTCCCCCTCAGGTGTATCACTGGGACACATCATTCCCCATTGAGAGGGCTGAAGGGACCTCGGACCAGAGACTTTACGAGTCTTCTCAAACTGTGAATTAACCCTCGTCATCATTCCAAGTGCTGAAATGTACGACAGTCTGGACAACACCTGGGTCACCCCATGACGCTCCATCTTGAATCTCTTGATCGTCCAATTTCCAGAGGATATTGCGAAAGCGAGACCTCGTGTAATCGTATCCTTCGTCATGTGCTTGACAACATCGAACTGCGCAGCCTTTGTCTTGGGAATATTCTTATCAGCAATCTGCTTGAGCTCGAAGTTGTATCTCTTGAATGCATCCTCGAACATGAGAGCTAAGAGTGAGCCAGCCAACTCCAATCGTTTATTTCCGTAATAATCACGATCATCTATCAAATTCCCGTCGTACTGTGCCTTCATCACTCGTCTGATCATCAGAGCCAGATACGTTGCTTTCATTTTGAAATTGAAATCCATAACTGGCACGTGTGAGAGAATATTCTGAGCCAATATGTCCTTCATCTCATCAGCAACATTCCCCTTCGCTGAAGGTCCAAAATACCTCTTCTGCTTTCGTTTGTTGTTCAAATACTTGAGGGCCTGCTGCTGAGTGAATATCTCGAGTGTATGACACTCCTCAAAGCTCGATCCTAACTTCTTCATATACTCCTCCTCAGTTCCAATGAGCTGCATTATCTCCTGATCCGAGACTATTCCCATGGCCTTGAAAATCACTGTAACTGGAATATCGTCCTGGAATATGTTGTGTCTCATGTAGTACTTTCCACGATTGCCCACGACATTTGTCTTCGTTTTTCTTTCGTGAGTTGAACTGTTGCAGGAAGCGACAATGCACCCCTTGGAGTCCTGCTCCAAAATAATTCTATTTTTCAGCATCTGCTCCTGGATGAGAATGACCTTCTCCTGACCATTAACTACGAAATAACCGCCAGGATCATGGGGGCACTCATTCATCTTCGCTAGTTCAAAGTGAGACTTGCCTGCCAACACGCAATTCGAACTCCTCAACATTATTGGCATCCTGAAACAAATTAAATAATTTCAATCAAACAACCTGTGTATCGCAATAATAACGATCAATTCCCCACCTTCCAATCACTACATTGTTCTTTATAATCGGCTGCTGTCCCCTCAAATACTCGATATCTACAATAATTGGAGCTGAATATGTCAAATCCCTCAAACGACACTCGTGCGGAGTTGTTGGTCGACTCATGTCCGCACCTTCTTCAATATCAGGAGAAGTGACATAAACATTCAAGTACTTAATGTAGAATAACGAATCATTGTCACAACGGACAGTTTGATTAGCCATGACAATCTTCTTGATTTCCACATTGATGAAGTAATTGAACGAATCAATATGTTGTTTGACGAGGCCCTTGCCCTTGAGAAAAGCTGGCACCAGCTTCCACTTGTCCTGCAGAAACATCATTACAACATTTTATTCTATTTCACTCATAATTAATGCGGCATAACCTAGCAGCTGTCCCGCCAACTTACCTGAATCTGTTTAGTAATCCGATCGGATTTTTCGACCTTGACATCCTCCAGGCCCTTCATTCTGAAGCCACCCATTTTCTTCAGATTTTTAAAAAAATTAAAAAAAGTACTCTAAATCACCATCACCACATTTTTCCTCTCATTTTGCTCTTTCCCTGCATTCTCCGAAAAAAAAACCGAGAAAACGCACATGGAGTGCAAATTAAACATGGCGGGCACTGCACATGCGCGCGCAGTCGCATCACGTGCACATTTTGAATTGTTTTCCATATCAGAAAATTATAAACTAATGGAAATAAACGCGCAAATGACCTCTGAATTGCTGCAGACTTGCCATTGGTGCTTAGACCATTTCATAAACAAATTGAGCGGAATTCGAATAATTATGTGGGGATAATCCATTCATATAATACAACAGAGTGAACTACTTGCGATAAGATAAGGAATGTCGACAAACAAGTTACCTAATTTAAATTGATGTATCGATGTATTGAAGCACATGGTAAGATTTCTGCAGGTCATCAACACTTAATTAGGAGCGGAATTTTGGAAATAACGAGACACCATGAGTTGGGGAATATTTCGGAGTAATTCAAAGCTGCGTAATTTGTTTTGTTTACTCGACACTAATACAAGATCGTGTAATATAAGAAATTTATCTCAATTCTACCCCATTGATGATAATCTCTATGGGTTGACTGACGAGCAGCGACAGGTTAGTACCTTTGATTATTCCCATGAACGAATAATTAACTGTTTATTTGATTCCAGCTCCGATCCGTGTGCTTCGATTTCCTCCAGAAAGAATTGGCGCCGAGAGCCGCTGCGATCGATAAGCAGAATCGATTCGATGGCCAGAGGGTGAGATTTTATTATTTTAAAGGTAAAATGGGTTTTAGGTTGTTAGAAATATTTAGAACTGGAGGATGCATCAATTTAGGGAACGTCATTGTTATTGTTTTAATAATCACCCATTGATAGCAGCAAGAAGTGACATGTTGTAGGAATTCTGGAAGAAATTGGGAAAGATCGGTTTATTGGGAATCACTGCAAAATCTGCATATGGGGGAGCAGGTGGATCTTATCTAGATCATGTGATAGTCATGGAGGAGGTGAGTCGTGCCTCTGCATCCGTAGGCCTGAGCTACGGCGCCCACTCGAATTTATGTCTCAATCAGATTCATAGGAATGGAACAGAAGAGCAGAAGCTCAAATATCTGCCAAAGGTACCATCCACCTGAAAATCCAAGAATATTTTTCCCAGGCGTTAAAACCCATTAAAAAGCTTCATACAATAATTACTTTAATTAGTTATGCAGTGGAGAATTCATCGGGGCATTGGCAATGTCCGAGCCAGGCTCAGGGTCAGACGTTGTATCGATGAAATTACGGGCAGAGAAAGAGGGTGACCACTACGTTCTCAATGGCACCAAATTCTGGATTACAAATGGCCCTGACGCCGATGTTCTGGTCGTTTATGCTCGAACAAATCCCCAGAGTCCCAAGCCCCAGCATGGAATCACGGCATTTATCGTTGAGAGAGGAATGAAAGGGTTCACCAGTGGATTAGCCCTCGACAAACTCGGCATGCGTGGCAGCAGCACCAGTGAATTAATATTCGATAATTGCAAAGTGCCAGGTGAACACGAGAAAATCAACTAGTTAATTAATTTTATTGCGAACACAACGATTTTTTTGTATAAACATTTTTTATCGGCAAACATGAGAGCTAAAAAAAAGGTATTAATGAAAAAATCGGTATCTTGTTTCGCAACTGAATTAGCGTCTCAATTCTAATCTCGTTCTGTGATTAATGTGGCTCTGTTATTAATTGATTTTGTAATTAAATTGATGGGGCATCCCAGTGGAGAACATGCTGGGCCAATTGGATAAAGGAGTGTACGTTCTGTTCAGCGGATTGGACCTCGAGAGACTGATCCTCGCCGGTGGACCCCTGGGGTACCTCTCAAATATTTAACCATTCACCTTTCGAGTGTGGGAAATTGCTGATTTAATTATTACAGAATTCTACAAGCCTGCTGTGACTTGGCCTTCGAGTATGCTCACACCAGGAAGCAATTCAACACTAGACTCGCTGAGTTCCAACTGATTCAAGGTAAAATAGCGGATATGTACACGAGACTGAGTGCCAGCAGGAGTTATCTCTACGGAATTGCCAGAGCTTGTGATGCTGGACACGCTAACAGAAAGGATTGCGCCGCGGTAATTCTATATTGCGCGGAAAATGCTACGAGAGCAGCTCTGGACACTATTCAGATCTTGGGTGAGTCTTGATGGGTTTTGAGGATCGGGATCAAGTGCTAACACATATTTCTTTTGATTCCGAAGGAGGAAATGGGTACATCAATGATTATTCGAGCGGTCGTCTCCTGAGGGACGCCAAACTCTACGAGATTGGAGCTGGTACCAGTGAAATTCGGAGAATGGTCATCGCCAAGTCCATAACTGAAGAATACTCATAATAAAATAATGGAGTGCGAGTGCTTTCTTAAATCCTCACTCTGCGTGGCATGCAGGTGAATATCATTAGTGGCTCAACAGAATAATTAATATGTCGACGAATACTGTTGAATTCTCAATCGAAATAAATGAGTCACTAGAGCAACTAGCCTTTCTTCAACAGATTGATTAACCTTTAGCGCTATAGGCGGCTAATTTAAGGTGTCGAAACACATCGACACCCTGAAATGAGTCTCACTCACTTAAAACATCTCTCCCTCTGTCACCCTTTGTTTCAAAATACTCATTAATCGACGAACCGTCACAGTAATTGGATCTCGGGAAAGTCCTCCTGATTTTTGTTATTCCAAAATCGACATGGGAACGGAAAATCGAAGAGCGCGCAACCGAACGTCTCTGAAATTTTCTATTGGAAATTACTACGAGGTGTACGTAAGTATTGCAGTCGGAATTCACGGAGGACAGGAAAATGTGAATAATTCGAGTGTTTAGTTCGTGTGTTTCAAAATCTAGTGATTAAAAAAATGATAACTCTGTTCGTAATTACTCCGTACTCCCAACATGAGATCCAAGTATTTTGCGCATTCCTCACACAGAAAAATATTTATCAATTAATCTCCATTTTTTATTAAATCTCTATCTTTTTTTTTCTTCAGAGATCTTTTTTTCATGAGGAGAAGAGTTTTCTCCAATTCTTGAGAGTTTTTTGAGCTTTTTTTTTAGTGTTGTTATTAAAATAGCGGGAAGAGTTTGAAATTCTCAGATCCATCGAGTGATGCTCGTCGATAGTTTATGACACTTTAATCATTCGGCATTCTGCATTATAAATACCAGAGGGTGAATCAAGAGTGGGAAATAGAAGTGATCTGATTCGATAATAAAATTTATACATCGATTGTCCCGCATTGGCTTGTGTCGTAATGAGGCCAGGACTAATGCACAAATCGTAGTTATGCATTGCATTAGCCAATGACCAATGTTACAACTTGCCTGATATTTTGCTATGTAGGTACGGTCAAATGTTGCAAGAATAACGAGTGACCAGTAGCCGGACAACTGTTAGTGCGGCTTGAAATTCTCTGACCGTTGCGGCTATTCTCTCCGATATGTTCCTATCCGTCACTATAATTTAACTATTATTTTCGTGTTGTGTGTTGTTTATCCTGAGGAATTCGAATCGAAGAGATAAATACACCGTCTAAAATTTTCCTCTGAAATTTCCAGTAAGAGCCTAGACATTTCCAAAACCAAAATTTCTCACAACTGTCATTTTCACAAATTTTTTTGAAACATTTAATACTGTGAATAATTAAAAAAACAATCTGTCACTGAGTTGCAGATTGTTCTGAATGTTTTTGGAGTTTTTTTAAAGTGGAAATTGAGATTTTTATTTGACAGTTTTGAAAAGTTGTGGAATTTTGAAATATTCGAAATTCTGGGGACTGTTTTCTGTTGAATAAAATTGAACGTCTTTTATCGGAAGATTCGGGGAAAATTTTTCAACGGCGTAATAAGACAGGTAACAAGATCAAGGTTTTGAGAGCATGACGAAAAAGCAAACATTGGTCTTAAAATTGCGAAGACATCAGGGTCGACCGTGGGGTTTCCGCATCGCTGGTGGTACAGATTTGGGAACTCCGATCATCGTCACCCACGTAAGTAAATTTTTGAAATTCCCTTTGCCCTTTATCCTCCAGTTGACGTAATGAAGCTAAAAAAAATCACAATAGACATCAATAACAAATCACAAAGTATTTTTCCCCAATTTTCTGTTTCAGTCTGAGAACGAGGACTTGCAGAAGGGTGACGTGATCAAGAAAATAGATGAATATGATTCCCGAGACGTGAGGCACGTGGACGCCCAAAATTTGCTCCAAAATTCAGAGTCTGTAAAACTAGTCGTTGAAAGGTCTGAGCCATCGATTCATCATTCACCATCAAATCACACCATCCGAAATTCGTTGAATATCGAGAGATTTTCGATAAATGGCGAGACGTCATTCATTAATCCGTTAGAAATTTTCCTTTCGATTGATGCAATTGCTTTAATCGCAGGCTTCATCACTAATCAGCTGTGACAATCGATTAATATCAGTAACATAATGACCATCGGTATCAATTGACAATTCTAATTGCAGTGAAAATACGAATTTGAAAGACTAAGACTTGGGCTTCAGCTCTTTCTGCGATTGAACTCTGGTCTTGTTCCATTTCCCGAATGAAATGAGACTTTCCTAGTTATTATTTAGTGCTAATCTTTGTGTGATAAACAGGCCGAAGGTGTCGCAGCCAAAGTTCCTCCCAAAGAGTCCAGTGCCTCCATTAATATCAAGCCGAGAATATAAAGCTTTCTCTCCCGATCACTTTGATCCGCCTCGAGAACATCTGGAGGAAGTTCGCGAGGAAAGATTCTATTTATCTCAGGTAATAAACAAATCAAATGTTCCACTCCAATTTGCGCATCTGCAGTAGATTAAAAAGAACAAAAAATTCAATTACGTGGAATTGAACAAGTGAATTATTAATTCCAGAGGAGGAAAACCTGATACTCTGGTGATTAGTTACTCCGTACGGTTTCAAAATCTCAGATTATTCGAGATAGCCAAGTCGGTGTAAAGCTGGGCTTCAAACCTAATTTTAGACCAGAACCATTGGCTATTTTGGCTGAATGCAATGCGAACACAATTCTCATACATAAATTTTCAGCTGTCTTTATAAAATGGAATGCGAAAGAAAAAGATATCCAGTCAACAAATACCGGAATCGAATTAAAAGAAACATACCAGTCAATTAATTGGGATTATTTTTGTAATTAATGAGCCGTTTGTTGCCAATTAATTTGCGGCGTGACAAGATGACAAGGGGCTTGTCAAAAATTCTGTGGAGCATAATTGAAGTTTTTCCAAATAATAGCTCATATGCCAGAAAATCTGCCAGACGTGTTCGCGCAGAATCTACACTTTGGAAAAACCAGAGTTTAGTGCCACCCGCGCTTCGAGTCAGTGCGTTTGAATCACTCGAATCGACTGACGTGTTTATTGGAAAGGAAAAACTACTCGAGGAAATATCGAATAGATCTCGAATAGAGATAAAATAAAAAGTTAAATACCGATAAAAGGGAAGAGCAAGTGATAATAATGCCAGGTTACGCGACAACCTATCGGTACACCATCGAGCGTCAACCAAAAGAGGAAGAGGCTGCAGTTTACTGGGTAATTATCACAATTATCGCAGAATCCATTCGCTAAAAGCTTTCTAAATTGATTAATCGATTGATGCCTTTGCGGATCAGATTTCTCGGTTCTGCCAACTATTAGTGCAGCAGACCCCAATCGCATTTTTTAAAACAACTCGAAGAGACGAGTCTTGACACTCAATATAAATATTAGACATTATTTATCGGTATTTCTTCAATTTTTTCAAAAGTTCAAGGATTGCATTTGATGGAATAGAGTGCACAACGTGGATGGCTAATTTTCTGGTTTTTCTGTCAGGGAGAATTTTGGGAATTCTAATTATAAGGGGAAAGTCAAGATCATCTCGGTTTGTCTACTGTAAAATGAATGGGGACGTAATAATTTTAACTGCACATTGCGACTGAAAGCCTTGACATATTTACGGAGAATGATTCATGGGGTTTTAAAGTGCCTGAGAAATTGGGGGAATTAATTATCGTAGGGATTGGGTCTATTTGTCGGTTGTTGTTCTTCATTATTGTCGGATTATTGAGGAAAAATTGTGTTTTTTTCTGGTGTTCTCTGATGGTGAGAGACGAGAGCGACAGAGGTGTGCGATATTTTTGCTAGCTTGAGGGCCTTCGGCTATTTTGGGGATCCCTGTTTCTTCGCTTTCATGTATCCTGCAACATTACCGTCTATCTGACCTATTTGTAATACACAAAAAAATGTAGCTTCCATATAACGGTGGACGGAAGATACCTCTCAACGCTACAATCTTTGTTTCGTAATAATAATTCACGTAAACGGTGTGGAAAATTTGAAAATAAAACAACTTTACCCAGCTGCATCAATCCGTGAAAACAAATTTCGTCATCAACTTGTGATATAATGGCCAACGATCGACCTTGCCAAATTGTTTACCTGGTACTTTCTTCAGCGGAACTTGGAGAAGAGTTTTGTTTTCGAGATTTTTATTATAAAAACAAACTGAGGTGACAGATTTCTCGGTTAAACATTTGGCTGGTGAATGTTTTAGAATTGAATTTCGGGTGAGTCTTGGAAATTTGCGGTATGCGGTATTTTTACGGAAATTTTTGCAGATTCTGTTGCAGATAAACAATAAAAAATAGTAATTATACAAATACTATCAAAATTTCCAGGAATTTAGTCTTGAATTTTACGTTCCATTGAATTAAACAATTTTTGAGTCAAAATTTCTGATAAAATTCTTAAAAATTTTCAAAGCGTGAATTTTTTGTATGAAAAAATTGCATTCATAAAAAAATCCACAAAATCATAAATTTCAATTGTGATTAATTAAAATCAATTACTCCTCTTTATTATTAAATAACTGAGGAATTATAAAAACTTCAGGAAATTTACCTGTAAATTACAGATAATCCTGAGTTTTTCGAGATTTGAAAGGAAAAATTCTCTGAAATTTTGAAAAATCCTTCAGAACAGAAAAATCTTATGTTCCAGCCGTACCGTACAACTCCTCTGGTCTTGCCTGGTGCCAAGGTCAAGAAGGATGCCCCCCTGGGGGAGTGTTATCTCCGTCACCACCCAAATCCAATGATAAGAGCTGCCCCCCATCACTACGAAGTAGCAAATCCCGAAGTGGCAATGAAACAAAAAGTAGGTAGTTACAGCCAAAAGTATCAGTACAACGCATCATTCACTGTCCAGCTAAAACCCCAGGACGATGAAAAGAGAGCGTAACGACATGACTTCATACTCCCATGTACATTAATAATCATGTCACCATGCGTCACATCCGAAATGTCAATTATATTTTTCTGAAAGCATCTCCATTTCAACCACACATATTTCTATATATAAATATCTGTACATAAACCCACATATATACGAGCAGGTGGCGGAATCAGTTCTTCAGCGTGTCTTGGGTCCGAATGAAGTACCAAAGGTTCGAATTTATTTATAAATGAATCGCTTTGAATTGCTTCAAACCTACACGAAAATTATAGCGAAATTTCATGAGAAATTTCATTGGGTAAATAATTAAATGAAGCTTCACTGCTTTAAAGGATTGAATTGTTTTCCAGGGAAGAGAGAAAGATCAAGATCTCCTCAATATTTTCAATTTACAACGCAATGCAAAAATGCAAAAATGCAAACAACGAAATTAAATTCCACGGAGTCTCTCCCTCTCTCTTCTTCACATTTATTCAATTAATTGTATTCATCTGTATGGTTTTATCACCAGAATAATATCATTAATAAAATTCATCTGCAGAACTGCTGTGAGAATTCAGCTGTTTAAAGCTCCCGATTTTTATTTTTCAATTCGCTATTTGTCGCGTCGAGTTGTGACAATAAGAAATTACCTATTAATTATTTTCGTTGGTAATTAATGGACTCAATGTCGAACGTATAAAATGGATTTTTATCTCTTCAGGTTGTGCATAAGCAATTCAATTCACCAATTGGGCTGTACTCTGAACAAAATATCGCAGACACTATCAAGTGTCAGACCACAGCTATTCCGTAAGTATATACAAAAATAATTAACAATCAACGATTATTCTGATCTCAACGCACATTATTCCGCTTTTAACTCTTCCGTCTAGCCTTTAAAAATAAACAAAATGTAGTTGTTAAACTTGCTGCTATTTGCTGGGCGTAATAAATTAAATTGACTCATTACTATTAATAAATAAAAATGCTACTGGATGTCGTAGACAATTGACACGGCTTGAAGTGCAAATAATGAAAATAGAACTTAATTACGCTAATCCATTAGACTTGTGAAAAGAATAGCTCTCACGGTCTCAAGAAAAAATATCAGTACATTACACCATTTTTCTTTTTTCCTATTTCTGCTTTTTCCAGCATTTTCATAGACTTTTCCTTTGTGAAACAAAAGCAAGAAATTGAAGAGCAAGCAAGATTAATGAAGGAAAGAGCCCGAGATGCTGCATTCAAGAATCCGTGGCCTCAATTCAATAAGCCGAATTAGAAACAACCAATGAAATACTTATAGAGTGCTATTTTCGATGACTATCTCGTCTCATTACCTTTTCTTTCACCGAATTAAAAAGACAACTCATCTTATTCTCTCATTCATCCAAACTGGACTGTTAATATGCGCTATTCCACCGTTACCCCAATTTCTCACCGTCAGATTAAATATTGTCAGAATATTTTTCTTCCAACATGAAAAGATGAAGAAATATTTACAATCTGCACGCATCCACTGTTCCACACAACTGTAATAATATGAATCATTGTTATTTCGCTATTTTAGGCTTAAAAACACAGACCGGAGAGTTTTTTCTGTAAGAAATAGACTCGTGCATGCCCCCTTTAATTATTTAATTACCTTAATCCCAATTATTGTAAGTTTTCTATTATTTTTTTTTTTTGGGTGATGAGTTGCATGATTAGATGCCGAAAGTAGAGCACAGGAGATAGATTAATGAATTTGTGGAGAGAATTAAAAAGTGAAAAACTTTCGTCACTACATTGTATATAGTGCAAAGAAGCCTGTGAAGTACGATCCGAGTAAAAGTGAAGCGTATAAAGCTCTCCAAGAGGAAGAATACGGTGACGATTTGCAAGAAGTCAATCATCCGGCGCGCACTGGAGTATTTGCTCCTCAACGAGCTCATCACCACAGGGCAAGTCATCCCTAAATGCCTCTGATGCCCCCAACACCCCTGAACCCCCATAAATTACTTGAAATAATGACAACCCTTTGCCAACAGGTTCATCATCCTCCTCCAAAGAGTCCTGCTTCTTCATACGTAAGTTTTTTTTTAATCTTCAGCAATCAATTAAAGAATAATAATTAAATAATCATCGTAATTGGTGGTAGACACAAAAGAAAAGAGAATGCAAAAATAATGGTAACAGAGAATGCCCCAGTGCAGCATGATAATAAAATGCATCCATATTTGTCTGATTAAGGGTGGAATGTATCGTCCCTTTCCTCTTCCTTTTATAAAGGACCGTGTCAATGGATTTTAAGTTTTCTCATCACTATGTTGTACGTTAAGTTCATCTTTCAATTATTAAAAAAAAAATAGATAAACACTGAACTAAAACCGAGAATTAGTCTATAAGAGATAAGTGGTGAATACACTCAAATATTTTTCAGGCCAGTGGATATGATGATGACGGGGAGAAAATCCATCAGAGCAACAGTTTCAAGAGAATCATGTACAGCGTTCTTGGGCAAACTGATTATTGAAATACTAAACCATGCCATCGATTTAATATCTAATCTGGATAAAATTGCAATTAACACTTCACGTATTCGCCGGAAAATTAATAAAAATACTCTGCATTATTTTGGTGAAATAAAGGAATATTATTTTTGATGAATATCCAGTGGAGTTTATTTCTCACCCTAGAGCTAAATAGACGAAAGCAATAAAACCGGAAGTGGAAAATAAAATAGTAGGAGGTGAAAGAAATAATAATTCAGTTTTTACTGACATAGATTTGTAAGAATATTTATTGGAAACTCATTTAAAGTACTGTAGAATCACATGTTCATGTGCTCCAGTTGCTTCTCTCTTTACTCATCACAACAAAAATTAATGAAAAATAATACTTGATTGTTAATTTTCAGAGGACTATTGTTTCCATTTTTCACCATTTTCACTTCAATCTCCAACTGTTAATTCACAAACGCTTTTCTCATTAAAAATAATTAGTACTGTTCTATCTTTTTCACATTTTTTTATAATTGAGTAATAGTCAAGAAACCATTAATAGTGGAGGTACAGAGGCGTCAATACCGGCATATTTGCAATAATTTCGTCATTTTTACACCTCTGCTGAAATCAGTGGGATATACATGTTTTTTTTTTACAGAAGGTTCAGTTAACTTACGATCAGGGGACAATAAATAAAATGATTTCGTTTTTTCCTACAATAGTGCTACACATGACTGACTTTAAATGTTGAAACTGTCGTCCAACAACTGTTTGAGTTCCTTGAGATGCTGCATTTTACTACCTGTCGCTGGTGATGCGGCGCAAGCTCGACCAGCATATCTGCAACACATGAGTTCACATGTGCATAAGTGAAATAATATGAATTGTGCAAATTTCAAAGAGCCTTCACTGCAGAATCATTTCGTATTTTGAGGATATCCAAGTAGATTAACAATTCCTAACTAAATTAATTATTGATTAATTGCAGAGAAAAATATGAAAATGTTGAAGAGAATTGCGAAAAGCCACTTTTCTAATGAATTTATTCATCAATTAATGAAAGGCGAGGGATTAATTGGAGGCAGAAAGAAGACTTTCTGCCTCCAAAAGTGAAATATACTTGGATATCTACAACGACTGCAATCAATGAGCTTGAGGAGCATGAATTACCTGATAGTACGAGGTTTAGATATTTGTGTCGACTCAGGTACAGACTGGGATTTTGTCGGTTTGGAGGATGTAAGCCACGCACTTAACCAACCACCACTATTTTTATCTGAGCCCCTATTACTGTAACATGGCCCAACACTTTTCGTATGTACTCTTGAATCAATCAGAACATCATAAAAAAAAAAGTAAAGAAAAAGCAACTAAAATCGGGACATGAGAAGTAATAACAAAAATGTGGGCCATATATACAGTAATAATACGAATGCACAATAACATAAATAACTAAAAATAACAGACTACTTACGAAACATTGCGAGTGCCATTGAGGGCTGTGACAAATCTTGGCTGAACGTAAGACCAAGCCCCTTGATTTTTCGCCTCCTCCTGGGTCCAGTAGATCTCAGCATTTGGATATTTCTCAACTTCTCTCTTAACGAGATCATGTGGGAATGGAGAAATTTGCTCCACCCTGGCAATGGCCACTTTGTCATTCAAACTCCTCTCATTCCTGGCCTTGGTCAGATCGTAGTAGACCTTCCCCGAGCAGAATATCAACCTCTTAACACTGCCAGAGTTCTGTGCAGCAGGTCCCTCCTCAGGAATAACCCTCAGGAACTGCGTGTCCTCTGTCATGACATCAAAACTAGATCTCGCCTCAGGATGACGAAGAAGAGACTTGGGCGTCATGAGAATGAGAGGTTTTCTGAACGGCAGAGCAATCTGTCTCCTCAGAATGTGGAAATAATTAGCTGGTGTGCTGCAGTTGGCAACAATCCAGTTGCTGTCGTGAAGCTGCCTGACAGCGAACTCCTCACTCTCAGGTGGGAAATAATCAGGATCATCAGCTGACATCTGAAGAAACCGTTCAAGACGTGCACTCGAGTGCTCAGGGCCCATTCCCTCAAGACCATGTGGCTGTAACATCACAATTCCCGATTGTCTCACCCATTTAGCCTGCCCACTGCTGATAAACTGATCGATAATACACTGTGCAGTGTTATTAAAATCTCCAAACTGTGCCTCCCAGCAGACAAGTGCATTGGGATTCGTCATGGAGTAACCGAGCTCAAATCCCAGCACACCGAATTCAGAGAGTGAGCTGTTGCAAACAGTGTAGGGTGCCTGATCAGGATAAAGATAGCAGAGAGGCCTGTACGTGGCCTTGTCGACACTCTGATGATGGAGGACATGATGTCTGTGTGAGAATGTACCCCTCTCGACATCCTGTCCAGATAATCTCACGTGAATTCCCTCCTTGAGGAGTGATCCGAAGGCCATCGCCTCCCCCAGGGCCCAATCCACTTGTCTCGACTCCACCATCTCCATCCTAGCCTTCAAAATACGCTCAATACCTTTATGAATGACAAATTCAGCAGCATTCGGTGGAGGGGACGAGAATTTCTTTCCAATGTGAATGAGGGTGTCCTCTTTAACTCCAGTGGGTGACACTTTCAGTGGATCCTTTCCTTCGAAGAAGCCAGACCAAGGCGAATCCAGCCAATCCTTGTACTTTATGTGAGTCTCCTGTCGTGCACCGCTGTACGCCTCTTCACATATCTTCTCGTATTTATCCTTGACGTCTTTCACCTCCTCCTGCGTCACAACTCCCTCGTCTGTTAATTTTTTGGAATAAATATCGAGAACTGGTGCTGTATTTCGAATTTTACGGTACATAAGGGGCTGGGTGAACATGGGCTCGTCAATCTCGTTGTGGCCATTTCTCCTGTATGACACGATGTCAATGACAACGTCCTTGTGAAACGTGGCACGCCATTCAGCAGCTACTTTGCACACGTGCATCACAGCCTCTGGATCGTCAGAGTTAACATGGAATATAGGTGCATTAACGACACGTGCAACGTCTGTGCAGTACGGAGACGATCGAGAGTGTCGTGGATCCGTTGTAAATCCAATCTGATTGTTGGCCACGATGTGGATCGTACCGTGGGTCGTGTAGTCTGGTAAATCTGACAAGTGCATTGTCTCGAAGACAACACCTTGTCCACAGAAAGCAGCATCGCCGTGCAAAAGTATGGACATGACCTAAAAATTAATATATTCATTATTATCACCCCTATAGTAATATATATTAATTACCAAAATGATCATTAATTGATGGATAGATTGAACAAAAGCACGTACTTTTTTGCCTTCTCCGTCCCCACGATAAAATTGTTCGGCGCGCGTCTTCCCCTGGACAACAGGATCTACAGCCTCCAGATGCGATGGATTGGCAACAACAGCGAGACGAATATTCTTGTTGGTAACACGATTCAAACGTTCGATGTAAGTCCCTAGATGATATTTAACGTCTCCAGAGCCCTGTTTAAGTGTAAATAATTACTTTAATGAATTGCTGTTTTTATTTGGATTTATGTGTTGCTAATGGTGGAGATTGACTTACGTCATCAGCGGCTTCGAGAGCAGCGAATTGCGTGAATATTTGATTGAGTGGCTTGCGACAAACATTGGCCAGGACATTGAGACGACCACGATGGGGCATCCCCATGACGATAGACTCAACCCCGAGTTCGGTGGATTTGTCAATGACCTGTTTCATCGCTGGGATGAGTATTTCGCAGCCCTCAAGACCGAATCGCTTCTCAGATGCCCATTTTCTTGCTAAAAATGATTCGAAACCCGTAGCACGCGTCAGACGCGCCAGAATCAAGCGTTTCTCATCATTTGTCACCTCCATAACACCAGGTGTTTCCATCTTCTGACGAATCCAATTGCACTGTTCCAATGAATTTATAAACATAAACTCAACCCCAATGTGACCGCAGTAGGCATTCTCCAGCCTCTTCAAGATTTCACGAAGAGGCAGGGATTTCTCCTTGCCACCGATGAACGTCGTCGACGGGAGTTTGAAGACTCTCTCCATATCGGACTCCTCTGTTTCATTCGTAATGAAAAAAATGAAAGGAAGGGAACGAGAGCACGTGATATTACGCGATTAATGAATTCGTGGTATTGTTCTAATTACTGACTATTTTTTTGATACAGAAGGAAAGATTTTGTTGCAAATCAGAGAAAAATACTAATACTGAAAATGCGAGAAATACATTTGAGAAATAGATACGTATTCGTCTGAATATACTCTACCTATTTTCATAATTGTCATTTTTAATTCAACAAATTGTGGCCAGTGTCTTTGCAATTGACTTGACGGGCATGCAAAAATTAATAAAACGTCATTAGAAGTAGCAGGGAAAACATCAATGTGTAGTTAAATAGAGAATACACTAATTATGGTTATTAGTAATGTGTGTAGTAATACAGGAGAAAAATCAAAGTGCAAAAAAAAATAAATAAAAATGATTAAATACGAAGGAATGAAAGAAGGAATGACCGGATGAATGAACTGATCCTTTTTTTCCGGCAATTACAAGCGCCTACACCCATTCCCATAATTCGATTTTGCGTAAATGAGAGAAATCATTACCGCAGCAGTAAAGCGAGATAAGTCAGATATTTCAGATTATTAAATATCGATTGATCCGACAGCTATTGATTTTAAGAGAAAATATCTAAAGACTTTTATTATTAAAAATTCAAGGAGCTACAAAAAAGTTCTTCGGTCCTTTCCACATTAAATCGATAGTTGCCGGGATAAATCGATGATTTAAAAAGTGTTAGGACTTATCTCACATTACCCCTTGGGAAGTGAAATAAAAAAAAGGGAAGAATGAAATGAAAACCAGGACAACCGTCGAGAGTAAGGAAAATCACTGTTTATCAAGGTAAAAACCCGCACCATTCTACCATTAAAATTTTCAAAAACCCTAATCAATAAACCCGTGAAATACACTAAATTAAACGATTAAAACAGTGAACGTGTGTATTTCCGTTCCGTCGTAACTACCTACGTTTCATGAGAACGGCTACTCGATATTGAAGGTCCTGAGAGAACGTGATGCGAGAGCTTTTTCCTGTGGAAACATCAAACTCAGACTGAAACTCCTAATTAATGAATTTCGATTCCCCCATAATAAACTCCAGCATTAGATTATTATTTCACCATTCTCGATTGACAAATGCCATGGACATATGAATCACGAAATCACATATCCTGCCAGTATATTCCCTAAACTCCAATAAAAATTCAATGAACATTGTTCTCAGTATAATAACAGTGGGTCAGAGATAATAATCGTCGATTGGAATGATCTAGCAGTGCTTAATGAGATGAAAATGATTAATCAATATCTAATGAACCAGAAGACACTAGTCAACGAAAGATTGTTCACTATTGCAAGCAAGAGGATGCCAATTTGGAGCTTTATAATTTAAAATTAAATAAATTATCATCAATTTAGCATGTGCTCCAGAATTTTTGAATAAATAATAATTCTCTTGCCACGAGTGAATGTTTGAGGATAAAATAAATATATTATGAAAATTCTAAGCCATCAATAGTATGAGATTAATCTCTTCAGAGTATAATTGTGAAAACATTACTCGAGTGGTTCGCTTACCAAAGGAATAATGATTATAGAGCAACTCTTGTGGATGCCTATCATCGAGATCAGCGCTGTTGATTCCAAGAGGATCCAATTTCGCGATATGATGTCCACGAATCTGTCAATTTAACGCCATAATTCATAACGACTAGCCGTATCAACAAATCACAATCAATAAATAATCATTATTCACTGAACAGTTCCATAATTAATACATATCGGTACATATTTGTCAGATAAAAAGAGGAAAGACGTCATCGAACACCTCCCACAATCTGATATAAACATTGAAAAATCAAAATACAAAGACAAAAATATAACAGAACAAATAATTAATCAACACTTAAAGCAACAATTAATCAGTACAAAGCAGCAAACAGCAACAACAATCCAAGTGAATAAATGCAATTTTCATGCATATAAACAGCATCCTACATTATTTAATCGAAGTTTATCGAAATGTTATCTTATTTATTTCCAAGATGTCGATGCATTTTCAGTATCAGCGTTTCAGAGGCAATGAAGAGACAATGAAAGTCATTATTGTATTCAAGAGAAAATTCAAAGGATGAAATTCCAAGTGATGGCATGAAGAGATTAGTTTCATTACTTGGAACTGATGAATGATGAATTAATGATTGCCTTACCAAGCATATATTGCCGCAGGACACGCTCAGGTGCCCCCTTACGGGATGCATAATGCGTGTGCACCAAGTCGTCTCTCATAATACCAAGGGGATCCAAATCAGCGACTAAATGACCCCGGGCCTTGAATTCCATTTAACATTCAATAATCGTCTAATTCATAAATCTATTACTATAGGGGATGCTGGGGTAACATGGACGCTCATTAAAAATTATTCAATTATTATTTTTTTTTTAATTTTTCCATGTGTAAGACGATATTACTCCTATTCCTACTCCATTCCTGTTCGTAAAGTGCTCACTACATTAATAGTGTATATTTGAATTGATTTTTGTCAACTAGATTTTTCCTGTCGGCCCTCTAATAAAATTTCAAATGTCAATTTTGATTTAAAAACTGAATTTTCCTAAAGCATTTTTTCATTAAGGGATCAAAATGCATTAATTTTCATGGAATAGTTCCACTAAAGACTGACAATTCTCAGAAATGTAAATTAAATATTGAAACAGCCCAATCGTGCTTGAAACAGAATGAATTAATGAATGAATGTCAGTTGTAATGAGTCCCAGTTTCATGAGATTACCATAAATGTGACATTTCATTGAAAATTGAAATCGTGTTGGCTTCATGCAGAGCTCTTTACCATTCCCCTTGCACATTAAATGTATTCTTCAGCCTATGATAAATAAATAAAAACTAATTTATCGATTAAATATATGAAAATAGTACTGGGAGGTGCCGAGTGGCTCATCAGCCATTACCAGATCAATGATTAATCCATAAATACCTGGTATGACCGAATGATCGCCTGGACAGCGAGGTGATCGTCGATGACCTTCTCATTGATCGGTACTTGTCCAACTTGAGAGCCACCAAGTGGTAGGAGAGATCCCAGTGGTACTTGGTCATGTCGTGGGGCTAGAGACGGTGGCGATTGGTAAGCGAGACCTGGCCCAGCACCTGCTGTACTATTTCTGAAGAAAGAGTCCCAGGAGACGTGGACACTGTTAGGATCTCTCAACCAGGCATTGTACATTTCCTCAACGTACGAGCTGGTGCTTCCGTTGAGGAATGGCTCAGTAGCAACTTTACTCCCATAACGTCGTGTCGGCTCCAATCCAACGACAACTTGTGAATTACGAATAAGTGGATGACCACGTACTAACCAACTGGCAAATCTTTCTGCTCCACATATCCTTGGAGCCACCAGGGGAGTTAACGAACTAAAGACTGTTCTAGCCCTGTACATTTTTGCCTGAAAGCAAAATCAATTGTCAGGCTTTTAGCAATATTTAGGATTGCCAAAAAAATTGAATTCATTAATTCACTAATTAACTCAGATAAAGAATACTAAGAGTGGTAACGTCAGGATAGTCTCGTCTTAATTACTCTAATTACTCATGTTTATGGTATTTTTAAAAATTTAATTTAATTGATAAATACAATATTTTTTTCTTATTCTAGAGAAATCATTATTTTATTAAAATGGTATATCATATTATATTATATGTATATATAGTATGATAGGCATTGCTTAGCTATGTGCTAAAAAAAGCTGACAAAAAACGTTCCGTGTTCTTTTTTAAAAGGGATAGTGAATCGGGAAAAATCGACTCCCCGTGGATTTTTGGAAGAAATATGAAATATATTTTTTATCGGAAATTTAATTAGCAACAGAAAAATCTTACAATGTGTTTATCGCAAGTAGATAGCTTGCAATAATTAATCTACGAATTCAATTAACGTTCTCCCGCAGTCGATCACTTCACTACTGAATTGTTACAATATTGTCTCTCGAATTAATTAGAAGTCGAAGGTTCTCGAGAAGTCAATCATAGATCGATTGCCAAATTCAATGACGTTTTGAATTCTAATGTCTGAGAATCTCGTATCGATAAAGAAATAATTAATTATATTGCTCTCGATTGATTTCGAAGTGATTGATGTGTCTTCCAAGATTTTTTCTCATTTCCTCGGACTGAATAAGGAAATTTGGGTGTTTCAATCATGTGACGTCTCGTGGGACAAGTCAAAGAAACGTGCAATGCCTGTTACACGAACATTAAAACATGAACCACAATTTCCCCAATTAGCAACCGTTGTAACTGCACTTGATTTATTCTAAAAAAATTGAATTGCTCACTTTGTGCGAACAACAGTGGACATGCGGCAATTACATTCACTTTGAAATTAAACAGTGCAATATGCATTCCCATAGATATAGGTTATTTGCAATCCCCACGAGTTTGAATTTGCCATTTCCATACCCTCGCACTTATCCGAACAATCGATAATACCCACATTTTAAATCTCATAAAGTTCCCAGTTCGAATGAAATAAAAACTATTTATATCTTGTGCAATAATTTTACGTAACAGCTGAAGAATAATACGCCGAATGTCGTTCAGTGGAAAAAAATTAAAATTAAGATACAGGAACATTGAGAGGGCACATCAGAGAAATCCTTCATCCAACAGATTATTTGCGTAGAATTGAATAATTAATAATACAAATACTATTTCAATGATGATGACATACCTATGATGTGAACGCCACTACGATGACAGTACGTCCACCATTTGCAGCACAAAGTGTGTGACTACATACCACATATATAGAAATGTTCGATACAGGTGCTGAACCCCCTGATCGCCCTATATATACACATATATGTATATATAGACCAGAGACTGAACCTGACGGTCACGCATGCGCACTAATCGACGAATAAAACGTGTGTACGTTAATGCGGGGGACATAACATAATTTAAATTCGCGCCATCGCGATTAAGACTGGAGAAATTGATAAATGTTTTATAAAAAATTATTTAATTATTATCAAATTGGAGAAGTGAAAATCATAAAAAAAAGGGTGTTTAAGGAGGTGACAGATGGATTTGAACGTCAAATTGTTCTCAACCTGAAATTTTCGATTTCTGAATCCCCAGGGCTTTGATTGGCTGGGAGTTTTCACGCGCCACTATTACGAAAACTTTTGTTGAGACGCAGATATTATAGGGGAGACTAGCGCTGCCGTTGATTAAATTCCCGTTTTCAAATGCATTTCGAATGTTTCATGAGAAACATGATAATTGGTAATGATAATTGATGTTTCGATAGTTACTCACTAATCACCTCTTCATATCAATCCTCTGCGATATCTCTATGTAGATGTGCTATACATTCATCTGCTGAATATATCTCGCAGTCATCCATATTCACTGTTCCATCCAAAAAGGATTGACTATCTACTGGTTTAATTCCGTAGCCGGTACTACAAAACTCGTTGTTTAACCTTTGTAATAACCGTTGCTGATCTCCCCTTGTAAACGTCTGCATTCTGCCTGCATAAGTAAACTTCTCCCATAATCTCTGCCATCTGTCTGTAAATTCGAAAAATCCATGTGCGCCATATTGTCACGTCTACTGTTGATATCCGTAAGAGATGGAGCTAGTCCAACTGTAAAAGGATAATTTAGTTGGAAAAAGGTACGCTTGGCAATTGAGACGAATATATTCGAGTTTATAGACAAAGTATCCCGGCTAAAATAATGTCCAGTGATTATTCGAGTTATCAATAAAACGAAAACCCCTGATCACCGTTGATTGGTTTATTGCGAGGACGACAATTACTCCAGTGTTACTCCTTACGTGGCCTAATTTAACATATTTCGGTGGTCTTGGAATGAAGTTTAGGGCTCTACCACTGGTGTTCGAGACGAATTAGGTTATCATCCTCTTGATTAATAACACAACGATCGTTTCACATCCAATCATTTATCGATTTTTGGGAGGAGACGAGATAATTCGGTGGCAACGCAACGTAAATAAATTGTTTCGACTTTATTGTGGTGAATTTTTAATCGGAGGCATTCGATGAAGTTCATTCGTCCTTGCTAATCGTTATGAGACATGTGAAAGCTCCTTTTGATTGTCAACCATCGGGCGCTGTAATTTTGGATTTGTATTTTTTAGGTTTTCGAGTTAAAATGTCTTCAAACGTCGTCAAGCAGGTGCAGGCCCCAGGTCTCAAGCAAGTCAAAGTTGACAACTGGGGGACATTTTTCCTCCAACGTCTCCAGCAGCTGTACGTGGAGGAGGAGCTCTTGGATCTCACTATTAAATTTCCTACCAGTGATATCACAGTGCAGGTAAATCAGTCCAAGGGGAAAATCTATGCATTCGCATTTTAATTACTCAGTCAATACGTCAATTCTCGGTTTAAGCCGGAAATGTTGGGCGATTTTTTTTTTACATACATCACACGATTTTACTACTCTCCAGGCTCATCGCTTAGTGATCACGACATGCACCGACTATTTCATGCAGCTGGAGCGCCAGCAGCGGGAGAAAGAGGGTTCCTTCGACGGTATCCTGATAATGCCACCAGACATGCCTTACGAGTGCGTCAAATCGATAATCAGTTTCATGTACACAGGCCAGTTGGAGTACTGGACATCGGAGCAGAATGCCCTGTACCGTACAGCTCAGAAGATGAACATGACAGTTTTGACGAAACTTCTTGATGCTCAATTCAATACAACTAACCTGCAGAGCACGAGTTCCCCCTCGCCGGAGAAATCCAACATCTCATTTCAGAAGCCACCCTCACCGAAGAAGTCGACTCTCTCGAATACACCCCTGCCAGGTAGAAAACTGCCAATCTGGCGACGAAAACTGGATCCAAAGCCAGACGTGACACCTGGTCCTTCTCGTTTCGATCTTCCCGATGCGGAGGACCTCACCCTCGGTGTTTTCTCCTCCTTCGACGATATTACGTACAATACGAAACCCATTGTGAAGGCCACAGACCACTCGACAGCCCAGGAAGAACCTACATTCAATCGTCAGACAGACCAGGACATCTCCATGAAACACGACACGACAGAGGATGAGGATGAGGACGATCCCAAGAAGTGGGAGAACTCCGACGACGAGTGGACACCGAACTCGAGATCTGATGAGGCTACACCCTCGAAACGAGTGAGATTTGAGATCGAGGAGAAGGAGAACCTGGAGAAACAAGAAAACTCCAATCCAGTAGACAACATCAATAATCATGCAAAGATAATCCGAGAAGTCCTTAAAAAATATCCCCACCTCGTCAAGAACAACAAGAACATTCGCTTGAAGATAATGCAGAAGGAGTCGAAAACTGAATCACTTCCTGGTAAGACAAGGGTGTCCTACGTGGTTCTCAAGTCAGATCACCTGATGTCTAGCGAGGAGAAAGAGGATAAGGTGGTGCTGGCTGAAGGTGAGAGTGGCCCATGGAAGTGTCACAAGTGTGACATTGACGAGGAATATCCTACGTACTACATGTACAGAAGGCACATGCAGGACGTACACGAGGAGAAATTCGACCCCAGAGTGTGCGAGCACTGTGGCTACAAGGCAACCAAGAGGAATATTCTCATGCATCACATGTACGTGAAGCACAACGTACCGCCGCCGAAGAGCATGTCCTTTCCTAAATGTCATACGTGTAATTATGTGGCTTTATCGGAGACCCTCATGGCCAGACATCACAAGTCCCACAGACATGGACCAATGTCTCTTCTGAATTCTCAGTCAGATGAGGTGGAGTGCGTCCAGTGCAGTGAGACATTCAAGGACGTGAGTGAATTGGCGAGTCATGAAATGAGTACTGGACATGGGACCAGCGTGGGACCTGTCAATGGAGAAGATAAGGGATACAAATGCTCGCTGTGTCCCAAAGTTTTTATCAAGCCTGTGAATCTTCAGGTGCATGTTGAGACAGCTCATAAAGAGAGGGAGACTGAGGGAGTGTCTACAATACCACTGGAGCCCTCTTCGGAGGCTGAGGCCCTCAGTCACGTGGCTTCAGGTATTGCTGCATCCTTGGGAGTCGGGGAGGAGGGACTCTGCCAAGAGCAGGAGCAACAAATACCATCTGAGGGTGGATATCTGGTTAATGAAATGGTATTGAACAGCATGGGACAGCAGGAGAACTATAATGGCCATGAAATCGAGGACCAACAGATGATTATGCTGATTGATAATGAAAACTATCAGGGAGATGAACAGCAGAGTCAGGGCCAGCCACAGCAGCTCGAAATATCTAGCAATGAGCAGCTGGTGATGCAGGGGACTGATGAGGGAATGATTGTTTACATTCATGGGAATGAGGACCAGAGTGCCAGACAGGTTTACGAATCCTTCCAGCAGGAGGTCAATCAGGAGACTGAGGAAATCGTCGAGGAGGTGGAGGAGGTTGAGGAAGTCGTCGAAGAGGTTGAGGAGCTTCAGGAGGAGGGACCGGGCGAGCAGATTGAAGAAGTGATTCAATATGTCGAGGAGGAGACTGAGATTGTCGAGTATGAGGGTGAGGAGCCACAGGAGGGACAGTCCATGATGATTATCGAGGAAGAACATCTCGAGGATGTGAGTGACAAGCAGAAGGAGAGCAGGCAGCTTGCTCAAGAGTGGGACGAGGATAGCACTGATATGAATGAATCGTGAATCGTGAGGGGAAGAATTTTTAGGAACTTTTCGTGGAGATTTTCGTGTCTGTCTCAGGCTTAAGGGTATGGAAAGAGGTGAAAGGATGTGCAAGAAGTCCCGAGGTTTTTTTTTTCACTTGATGGGGGTCATTTAAAAAACTGGAAAAGTCCGGATGGTTGAGAATTCCTGCTGCTTCGGTCGTTCTCGAGGTATTCAAGATATATTTTGAAAGTGAAAATATGAAAAATTTTTATCGTCTTGAGAGCGAGTGAATTTGGGATTTCGGGGTAAACTGTAAAATTTTGATCCGATTCTCATTGATTTTTAGTAGATCAGATTTTTCTCTGGGAACGAAACAATCAAAATAAATTCAAATTTTTTTTTCGCGAGGTGATGATTTTTTCGATTTAATGTCGTGCCCGGGTAACAATGAGATTCTATGTGGGAAGATCTGATTCTGACTGGAGACATCATCTTTATTAATTCGCCTTGAGAACAATAATTGTAAGATTAATAAACATTTCGATAAATGAAGGAGGAATTATTTTTATTCAAGTGGTGACAAAAGGATTCACTCGAAACTCGAACTACAAGTCATCGAGTTTATTGGACGATTCACAAAGTTAGTTGAAAAAAAAATGTAATTACAATAAGAGTACAAGATTTGTAAAGTAGAAAATTGGCGATTGGTAAATAAATGTCGAGTGAAATTCATTAATCCGTTCCATAGGCTTATCTGAGTACTTTTGCGTTCAAAGGCTTTGGTCGTTTGATTATCGATGTTGATAACAATTTTTCCTAGTTCAATTGATTTTTTTCAATTTTAAAAACACTCATACAAACAAATCCACAATTATTACTTTCGTTTGTTTGAATCAGATTTGTGCTGCAGATTCAACGATTTCTCATATTTATTATCTTATCATTTTTAAGCGATGAACACTGATATCAAGCACATCGACACGTCGTCTAGATCCGTAGAAATTTTTTCATAGAATTCCCTTTAAAGACTTTGCAATTGACAAATAAGTCCCAACAAGATTCGTACATTTTTGTATTAAATAAATATATTTTCACTTATCTTACAATTGCAGGCAGGGCGATATTAAGAAAAATGAGGCATTAATTCGTATTAATTTTAATTTCGAGTTAATGTCTCCAAATTCTCTCGACATGTTTGAATGACTTTCCCTTCGCGCGAAAAACAAAATAATCTGAATTGTTCACAATAATTGCAATTGTTCAATACTGAATCGTTAATTGGAAGTACCATTTGTTTCTCCCTGCAACTCCCACAAAATTGGTCGTAAAAAAATGACGTCTGCCTCATTAAATCTGTAATTAACACTAACGGGTTTTGGACTTCTTAAATTAAAATTCATTTGGTAATTAATAAAACCATTATCACGGGTTATCTTAACAATAATCTGTCGTATGGAATGGAGTTAACACTAGGGGACTCATTGGTAACGCGACTTAATAAACGTGATGTACAAAAATTCAATAACGACGAAATAAAAGGTAATAAGTCAATTCAGCTAACACATAAATTTTCGAGAAATATCTGGCTACAAAAAAGATAGCAATAATTTTATTAAGACCCTTTCTAGAGCTCTGATTTCATTCTATAGAAATGGTATCAGGAAAAATTTCACTATCTTCGTTACATTTCGACAGATTTCTCGAGAACTCGATTAGGAAACAATTTATTGCCGTTTACCTATTCGTAATTGAATTCATTAATTGAATGGATTATCCCGTTGAGAATGATACACAACGTACCACTGAGTAAGTTGTGTGTGTTCAGGTGCTTGTGACGCCTTTTCGTGCCACAAGAAGATTCAATACTGGATGTTTTCTTATATAGGCAACGGCTTTTTTGTGGGTGACCATTGTAAAGTCGTAGCCATTGCACTGGAGAATTTTGTCGTGAATTCTTAAGCCGCTCTTGGCTGCTGGAGATCCCTCATGTACTTCAGTCACGTAAATACCCTGGGGAAGTAAATTACGGGTGTTTATGGATATTTATGGATATTTATTCGATTGCGGTTAGATTGGGAGACAACTCACGTTGTCTGTATAGCCTTGAGGACTTTTTCGAAAATCTTGGTCGATACCACCCCCTATTTTGAAGCCACACTTAAGGAATACCTCGCCATTCAACATCTCAGTCTCTTTTCGGAGGGTTATTGGTATCTGAAAATAATTCATTTCGAGATTCAAAGTTCTTTTATAACGCAAACTATTAGTACATGAAATATAAAGAATATAAATAGCCTAGCAGTGAAGAAGACTCGGAAAAATTGGACTGAAAATTTTGTATATGAATATCTTAATAAAGCAGAAAAGATTAATTTTATGGAGGTAAAACGGTTCAGTAGTAACTGGGAAATTGATGAGAGATACTTACACTCAGGCACTCCATAGCGGTGCCCGCCTGGTGCTGGAAAGCCATTTTTGCACACATCTTGAGTTCTGATTCAATAAATTCTGTCTGAAAATCAACAAATGTAGCTTCTGGATCTTCTCTCCTACTGTGTCTCAGCCAGACGTCTCAAGTGTCTCAAGTGGAGTAGAACGTAAATACTTGAAAAATTCAGTGAATAAAATTTTCACGATCTATCAGCCACACAGGGATAGGGTCTGTTAGACGATCAAAGTATGAATCCCTCACCGAGAATAGAATTAGCGTCAACACCACGTCTGTATCAACAATTCACACTCACTTATGACAAATAGCTGTCTAGGGGAAACTTCTAGTGTTTTTTAACCCGCCAGATTCCCGGGAAATTGCCGCGTTTAAATTTCCTTAGCGACAACGTGACGTAGAGTGATGCAATTACGGAATTTCAATGAATGAGGGATTACTTGAAAGCTTGGAAAAGGGTTATTGAAATGAAAGTTCAATTGTCTGATTTTAGTCTACGGTTTTTTTAATTATTCGAGATTTAAACTGAGAGCAATTTTACAGTTCTCCGGTCACTTGGAATTCAAAAAAATTCCAGATCGCAGCGTGAGGACGAAGAATTCACTAGACCATTTTTTTTTTCGATTAAATATCGAGGGTCAGGTCAGCAAGGATTGACTGAAATTTAGCCGACTGTAGAATGAGCGGAAGGGGGAAGCCACATTTTGTTGTATTTCAAATGGAAAAAAATATTCAATATATTGAAGATATACTCCTAATGAAGCTATGCTGTTGTAATGAATGCGTTGTTTAATGGGCAACGTGCTTGGCTGGCACATTGATGGCTGGGGTTCGATCCCCAAGCCATCATTCATTTTTTTTAATCAAAATAATTCCAATTTTTTTTTTTATAAATGGCTAATCAATGGAAATGTCGTTTAAAAAATGAATTTTTGAGAATCGAGAAGATATCCAATGAAATTGACAAATTTGAAATTTTTTAAAAAGATACTTGTTCAAAATATATACGCCTAATGAAATTATATTCTTAGAATGAGTGCGTTGTCTAAATGGTAACGTGCTTGCTTACCACGCGGACGGCCAGGGTTCGATCCCGCCAACATTCATTTTTTTTTTAATAATTCCACTTTTTTCTTTTGTAAATGGCTAATCAATCGAGATATTGGTTAAAAACTGAATAGCTCCTGGATTGTCATGTTCCCTTGATACTTTTTCTAAAATTTCGAATTTTTCACTTTCAGTGAAAATTTCAGTGAATAGCTCCTCGATTGTCATGTTCCCCTGATACTTTTTCAGAAATTTCGAATTTTTCACTTTCAGTGAAAATTTCAGTGAATAGCTCCTCGA